AGAAGCAGGATGGTAATTGAAAACAGGAGGTTGATTAAATACTTTACACCCTACAAAGCAACAAGAGAAGGTAAATCACATATACTCAAGATAAATAGTATTTAAAAACGGGCATAAAAATAATTCCTAAATTAGTTTCCAGGAGGTGTTTGGCCTGCTGCTAGGAATTTTGAACAAATTTGAAGTATATAACTATGTTCAAGCAGAGCACTACTACATGTTCCTATGTTGTTCCCCTTCCGTTCCTCCAAGCTCTCTGAAACATCATGATTCAGGTAGCTGCAGCCTAGACTGGAGTGTGTGTCCTAGACAGAAGAATAGACAACACTCCCACAGAATTCAATTCAGTCAGAAATTAAAGGAAGAAAATATAATTACAGGCTAGCTACTATGTTCTAATGGAAACCAGCTCTTGTCAAACAAATATGATTATATTCTCTGATCGAATTACGATTTTAGAAACATAAAAGTTCAATAGACGCAAATCAGGATTTTGCTAAACAACTAATTTGTTACCACAATTTTCTGATTATATAATAGAGTTAAACAATGGTAGTAATGTACACATTAACTGTATTAAAAACTGGCAATCTGATTGACCTGAAAAAGTAGTTCATACTGTTATAATATTAGTAAAATTAGTAAATATACATAAACTTCTGCTGATACTAAGACAAAAGCAAAGGAGTGAGTGGATGTAGAATTCAAACATTACAATGTTTGTATTTCTTCACCTACCACAATAAATAAATAAATAAAAATCCATTCGGTTTTGCAAACAGCCTTGCCTACTTTTAAGAAAATTTTATCAAAACTAATTAACATCTACAAGCCAAAAAGACACTCCAACTCCTATGATAACTTTTTTTCATGAGAAACTTCTACTTTGTGTGAGAGAAACATTAATATTTAATGATGGTACAAACACAGGGCAAGAATAGTTAAACAGTAATTCATTAGGATGAAAAGAAAGAAATGAAAGGAAGAACTGAATTCAAAAGGGAAACTAAATACATTTCTGCAGTAGTGAAACATATTTGTTAATAGAGCAAATTAGAAAGAGAAATAGGAAACTCCCCATCTTTGCATCTTTAATTCAGGCCTAGTTGCACTTCTGGGAGGACACACTTTAGGCAAACAAAGGGTTAAATCTGTATTTTGGAGTAACACTTTGCAATTTTATGTCTTGTTAAATGGAGAAGATAGATAAAATGTTCTGATATGAATCCATAAAATATCTCTTCTGAAAAACTGAACTACAGCGGAAAGAAACTAGAACAATGAAACCAAAACCAGATTTTAAACTGGTATCTGTATAACAAATGTAATTATACCAGAGACTCCTTTCAACACAGATGAGTTGTCTCAGGTGTTTGTAGAGGAGCTTGACAACTGAGAAGACTACAGTCTTCAGTGAGATTTAGACCAGGTTGGTGACTCTCAGAATGTTTTTACTAGATACATCGATGATCATCCAGCTATCATCCAGCTCAATGAAATCACTTCTAGTTGGTTTTACTGCAGATTTGAGTTAAAATGGAATTTAAAAAAATATGAAAATAATTTCCAATTCTTAGAGAATTAAAACAGAATAGATAATGCATTTAGTAAATTTTTAGACGCTTCTGTTCTAGGAATGGGATGTAAAGATCAATTTATGGCGTATGCTATTTTGTTCTTGTTGACTATAAAATTCATGATACATTAAAATGCACATTGTGAAAAGCAGTTTAAAGAATCAGTAAAGAAGATCCTAGAAAAATAGAAGTAATTATTTTCTTTATGAAACCAATTTGCAAATTACTGTAAAAATATGAATATCTAGTGGTAAAATCTGACAGACTGCTTTATGCTTTTATAAAATGCTGTAATAATAATAAAGTTTCTAGCTACAGTAAAGCATTTTCACGAAACATTGGCTTTCAGCTTAAGACCAAGTTTTCAGAGGTTAAAATATCATCTTCAAGAGAGATTACAAAATTCTAACATTTCTCAGGAGAGAGGAAAAGAGAGCTAAGATCACATGATAAAACACATGCACACCAGGAAGAAGGATAATGAGAGAACTGAACTTGTACATCTCTGGAAGAAGGCTTAATGGAACCTAATAGCAGTCATCCAACACCTGCAGAGGTTTGCAAAACAACAGAACAAGTCTCTTTGTAACAGGTTCTACAAGATTGGTATCACTGGAAAAAACAGGCTTTCAAACACACAGGCCTTTCTTCAGGTTTTATACAGATACAAAATACCTCACAGCCTGAAAAATAATGACTACTGGGAGTTCAATTTCATAGCATTTACACACTTAGACTTGAGAAATCAAGTAACTACTAGAGACGATAAGAATGATACGAGAATAACTATAAAGTTCTATCCTAAATTATTTCACAATATATTCTGTTTCGACATAAAATCCTTCCTTTGATTGCATTATCTTTTCATTTTGCTACTATCATCGTTCTTTCCACAATACACTGAAGGTTTGCCCTTTGTTTTGTTTCTTTAGAATTTGTAAGGCACATACACACATTAAATGTGTATGTAACTAGTGCTATAAACTTGAAATCCTAACAATCTGAAAACATTTTCAGACATGCAGATGAAAAGTCTATTTGTTTATTATTTAAGTCTAATTATTTGTAATTCACTTTAATTCAAATAGAGGTACTGGCGCATGTAAGATTTTCTTTTAGGAGTTGTTTGCACTGGCAAGATTTATCCATCCCCAAAGGAATGACCTACCTATGTCAGCTCTGTTGTAAATATTCCATTCTCAAAAACCTGAATACTGAGTTTTCCACATAAAAAAAATTGGTGATGTGTTACAAATCAGATTTCACAGATGACATCCAAAAATTTTAGCTTATTATGCAAAGTAGCATTTGTAACGAAAAATGTTCAGACACATGGAAGCAGTTGATTGGATACATTAAAAAATGAATGTTTCCTTTTATTCTTAACTATCTAGGAAATAAAAAGATACATCCTGGTAAAAATGGAACTACACCCTTATGTTCACAATGTTGCATATAAAATCACTGTCACGTTCAAGGCAGTGTAATGACAGTTTATATTTTAGAGCACCGCTGTTAAAAATGCTACCTTTTCAATAGCCAATCAAATCAATGTTTTGAAATGTATTTATTTACTTATTTATTTTGCTCTGAGCTTTATCTTGCATCAAATTTTAGAAATAGAGAACCTCAGATTAACTGACAAGCTAGTCAGAATCTGTTCTACTTTTGTTCCAAAGCAATATTCTACTATAAGAAGGGAAAACACAAACGAATAAAAGCCACCCAGAAAACAGAAACTAACAACATTAATAACAACAAAAAAATATCGCCCAGAACTTCATTTAACTTGATTATAAAAATGTCAGCTAAATTCCTTAAAGGACAATAAAAGTAAAACTGGGGGACGAAAAGCCCGAAGTCTCATGCAAGCACTTTTACTTATGTAATTCTCTTCTTTAATAATTCCTACGTTTCTCCATGAACCAATTTTTTAAGATAAATATAAAGAGAAAAGCATTAATAGTAAAGCTTTTGTACTTCACCATAACAGCTCCCAAAGCTTCCAATTTACAGCTAGAGGATGTTAAAGCATGTCTTGCCAGCAGTGCTCATTGCATGGTATGTAATTTTACAGATCATGTAAAGGTACTTGATCTGAAATTATTGGATCAAACAATACTTGAAAATGGTATTTTGCATAATTATCTCAGATCAGGTCTTTTGGAAACACAATAGTTTAGATAACCACAATATTTGGAACTTGGACAGTTGCATATAAAGGTTTTATTGTTGAGGTCAAACAGTCTTAAGAAATCATAAACAAATTCTCATTTGTCAAGGTTCTGTAATTTGACAACATTCATAACTCGTATCACAGATTGCAAAAGGCAAATGAAAGTGACCGAGCCACTTCATATCACCAGTATTAGAAATTTAACATGATCAAACAACTTATTTATGCTCAGCTGTCTTCTCAACTGCCTGAGCAGTCATTTTTGTGACACTTAAAAACAACTGTTAAGAATCACGAAACAACGGTTATAATTAGCATTACTGAAATCAGCTAAATAAAGTTATTAAAACTGTAGGTATAAAATTTCCTTCCATGGAGGATTTCCTCAAAACATTTAAAATTTAATAAAGCTCTGGAGCTGAGCATATGGAACCAAATTCAGCATCTTTCAAGAGGAAGTGTCAGACAGACTTGCAGTGCTACTAATCCTGCCTGCAGTATATTTTGTTGAGTACTCATCACTGTTGAATTATCTTTACTATGTGTATTTCCAGAAAATGTGTGCTATTGATAAAAATAACTGGTTTAAAAGAAAAAGTCAAAAGCATATGAACTCAGGAATGAAGAAGAGAATATGTAGACAGACAAATAACAAGTAAAATGGGTTTATAAGTGCTGCTACCGTTCCATGAAGGATAAAGAAAAACAGTTTACATTTGTAAGACAGATTTCTATGGCAAAGTGAACTCCTAACTTCATAAGCAAATGCAGTCAACTGCTGCTTCACATTTCTGGAGAGCCACAGTTAAAAGGGCACAAGACAGACTGGGCAAACTGGAACTGACCTGGACCTGATTTAGACATGCTGAGTACTCTCTGCAGTAGAGATCAAGTCCAGCAATGGCAAGATATCATGAGGGCAAAGTCTGACTCTTGATACATGTCCAGAACACATACACACTTTTTTTCTTTTTTCTTTGATTTCACCTTGAAACCACCTTGAAACAGAACTGTTTTTCCTTATTTAGGCATCTTTTCCTTCATACAAGGAACAAACGTATCATGAAGAAACCACCACATATTTAAAAAATATGCTAATTCACAAAAGGATTCAGAGATTCAATTTCATTTCTAAATGAGGTTCACACTCTGCCTTTTAGGTATTATTTTCCTATTTTTTAATAATAATTTCACATTTAAGTGAGGGCTGCATGATCTTTTTTTTTCTTACTTCCCATAGTACTTACGGGTCTTTCGAGCAGAATCTTCTACAAAAAGAGAAGAAATGTCTTCATCCACTCCTGCTTCATTCTTTGCAATGCAAGTATATGCTCCTGTATCTTCATAGCGCACGTTACTAATGTGTACCTCACTGCCATTTGCTGAAAGGAAGGAAAATTCAACGTACAGGCATACTAAAGTGCTTTCAGATCAAACACTCAAAAGGCCTTCTCCATTCATGCTAATTAAACTGTTTTCATTCCTGATTTCATAACTTGGAGACGTGCCAAATCTAATCAAAAGGTGTTCAACAGGGTAGTGAACTGCATGCACTATTATTCATCTTATGGATACATGCAATATCTCACTTGATTCTGCAGTTTGGATGTAAATATCTACCTGATATTTTATATAGATTTAAGTGACTATGGTCATATTTAAAATCAACTATGTTTCATTAGGTTGCGTTTTTTCTATTACCACCCTATTACAAGCTTTACAAACAATAAGGCAGGTTTCTACGGAATATAATGGACTACATTTTCAAGATAAATAATACAGAATTATTCCTAGCAACAAGAAGCCCCTATGATTGCTTTTTTGTCAATGAAGTATGACAAAAAAAAATTGGTACTTTGGAATTTTATACCTACATCAGCATAGGAATCTATATGAAACTATACTCTAGAATAATTTCAGGAGTATTTTCAGACTAATCTTGGACAAAGTAAACACAAGTGAGTTTTGCACATGCAAAATAAGCATTAGCACACAAATGAGGAGTTGTGCACCAGCTTGAGTAGGAATAGCAACAGAATCCAAATTTCTCAAGCAAAGGTTTTCTTAAATATTGTCATGTAAATAATGATGTGAACAATGACTCACTGCATTGTAAGTGTAGCATGCTTGTTCAGCTGTAAGATTTCAAAAACAACTTTCTAGAAATTCTATAACATGGACTAGAAGGGACACTAGGTCATGGTAAAAACCTCCCTCTGGATCTATGGATAATATGCTACGTCTAATGCATAGACAATTTAGCTCTGGGACAGGAAAAGCTCAGAGAAACTATAAAACTTTATCTCATATGAGTACATTCAGGAACACTGAATTAAATTGTGCTTTGCTGGTTTCTTTGTTGGTTGGTTTGTTTACAGAAGAAACATTCTAATTAATTAATCACAAATATGTAATATGGAGGCAAGGGAACAAAAACAATGTTTCCACTCAAATCCCTGAAGGGGAAATCAACAATGCTGCCATGAAAGATGAGACCACCAGGAAGTCTAGCACATTCTACTCATAGTAGAAAATCTTTCTGTTAAGGAAATTGTTCACACATATTCAGGACAGAGAGCTGTGAAAGCACAGAAGCCTCCATCACTTATAGAGAAGGTAAGATTCTACCGAAGCAGTTGCCATCTATCTGTCCCACTCTATCACTGCAGCCTCATTTCTGTTCTGTTTTTTGTTTGTTTTTGCAGAAGAATGAGATGATATTTTGAAGATAATACGGATATCATAAGGTTTATTCTTCAATGGATGATCAAAGTTCACCAGAAGGACTACAGACAAATGCCATTCTGGATAGTTTCACTGAAATCTACAAGCCCTAAAGATGATAAAAACTGGCTTTTACCATTGTTTAGAAGTTAGATTTCCCTTCAGTTGTGTAGGTTTCAATGTTCTTTGGTTGCTTTTGATTTATTCTAGTCTGCTTTTTTAAATTGTTACTGAGTACCTTTGCATGACCTTTGAGGTCTGCTGAGACCCCTCATATAAGAGCAAATCCATTTCATATATTTGTCCTGCTGTCCTTTTAGCCATCAGTTCCCTACTTCTCACTGAGATTCTTACAGTCAAAAAAAACTCCTGTTTTAACTGAGCCTCAGTAAAAGTCCAGTATCAATTTAAATCTGGGCTCATGAAAAACAATTAAATTACCATCAATGCATAGTAAAATAATAAAATATTCACAAAAACATTGCTTCCTAATTTAAAATAGAAATTCTGAATACATGTTGAATGGTACAAATGTGCTTGCTGTGACAAACTGCAATATTGTAACTAGAACTGGGTTTTGGGCTGTTTCTTGTACTCAGAAGCTACATATCTTTTAACTAAGAAAAGCTACTGGAATTTACTGGTGATTCTGTTACAGTGTAAACCTCTTATTTTGATGACAAGAAAGCAAAGTACATGCATGCCTTAGGAAGAAATTTCAAGACATTGCCTAAAATGTTTTAACTTAGACTTCAACCCTTGTTTAAAACTAGGCAATAAGAATACCAAGTAGAGAAATCTACAAGCCCTCATAAAGCTTTTGCAACCTGTAGAAAACAATAAATACGTCCATTTACCTTGAAGAGTTAGCTGTTTAGATAACTTCGGAGTGATATCAATTCCATTCTTCAGCCAGCCAAGTTGTGGGTTAGGAATACCTTCAGCGTGGCACCGAAGGCTAGCTGTCACTCCTGGCTCCCTTGCCTGACTCTCTGGGTACACTCGGATGACTGGTGGAACTGAAGTTAGAAAACAAATATAATTTAGGGAAAAAAATAAAGTTTTATTTTCATTTTAAAAAATCATTACAAGCAATTCTAAAGACTCCTGCAGCTATATACAATGACAGTGCAAAACACAGATGTGACATTAGTCACATGTTCACATTAAACACCGAACTCTATCAAGTAAATTCATCAAGTAGAAAATGTTCTGTGAGAGAAATTCCTTTTCATCATGTCAGAGAAAAGCCTGAATTCAGTATTTGGGAGTTGAGTAATAAGATTTTTTCTCTTAAATTTCTTCAGAAAATACAAATAATTTAGAGCTAGGAAGCAGCCATCTGTGTACAGAGAGGGTCATTGTCTTATTCCACAAACCTTTTATTTAACACTTTCAATTCTACCTTTATACTCTCTTTAAAACACTTAACAGTAACCTATCCTTCTTGTAAAACACAGATAACTATGGTTATGATACCTATCATTACCTTTAGTTTATACTTAATTACAACATTCTGAATTCATGTGAAAATTCCAAGTCTCATCTAGTAGGTATTAACATTGTAAACTTTTATGCCTTCAAAAAAACTTCTGGCTCACTTAATAAAATGTACGGCACTGCATTCTATATATGCTACACAACTGCAGGAACTTCTAGATCTGATCCTATTTTTCCTTTTTACTTTATTTAACACAACGTTTCTAGAATGAAATTTGAATTTTACACACATAGAAAAAAGTAAATATACTGTCATAGGGAATACTTGGTATTGCATTCTTTTTTAGGCAGATCAGCAAAACAATAAATTATTAACCATGTATAGAACAGTGTATGTTGCCAGTTGGGGGATAAATTAAATTAATATTGTACATGCTTTATACGGTAGCTAGATAAGTGTGAATTTTACCATAGAGCATCTCACATAACTGAATCTGAGGCTTAATCAGATCAGCTAATCTTACGTAAGTGCTGATACTAAAGCATTTGGCTTGAATGGTTTATTTTTTAACTCTAAGAGAAGTAGAGCTCAGACTAGTTCTTCCCAGCTTGATCATCAGCAAAATGTAAGAACTTGTGACAGCACTTTTAGAAGAATTGGAACCTTGCTGCAGTGTATGCTTACCAACAACAACAAAAAAAAATCTGCTGCAGAGTGCACCAGTACTGGCTTATGATCTGGAAGAGGACATACTCGTATTGGCAAACACTGATTAATCAAGATTTAGCAGTATTGCTGTGTTGAATTTTTATATGAGTAATTGGTGATATTCTCCTTAATTACACATAGAGAAAACTATTTTGAAATTCTTTCTAAACAAACAAAACCAACCAAACAAAAGAGCAACTACTTTTAATGAACATTACAGTAGTATGTTTATCGTCCAAAGATTTGTTTAATGTGGCTTTAAAAATGTGGAATACTTGGCTGGTGTCAAAAAACACAGCTGGATAGAGGATGAAATATCAGTTGATAATGAAAGAAGATAACAAGATCAAAAATTAACTGTGTCTGTTTTGGCAAGAGATTAAATATTTTCAAATGCTATCCAACTGTTTACAAGAAATATCCCAGCATGCTGTCCTATTACAGCATAGAAATGCCTCAGATTTCTAGAGTGCAAGAAATACACACATGTACGGCATCTCAATTAAGACATAAGAATCAGAAGGTTTCAGGGATATCTTAAACCCAATTATAGATGAGAGTCTTTTCAAACAATATATATGGAAAATTACACATAACTCCAGAAAAGCAAGTACAAAAATATATTAAGAAAATTAAAAAATTGAAAGTTGTGGCTGCTAATTGCTTAGACTACCAGCTATGAGCAGCATGTCTAAAACAGTGATTTAAGATTTCCACTGAGTTTCTGGAAGGGAGTGTACACAGATGTCTCTATTTCTATGCTCATATCAAGCCTAAATTTGTCATCCGTGTTCCCCTTCTAAATGTTCCCTGTTACCACTCTCCTGTGGGATCTGTGTGAGACACTATCCTTCCCACTGTGTTCTTAATTTCAAAATCCTCTCAACTGTATGATTGCCTGGCTTTTTCAGTACCTTATCTCCCAGACTAATTCTGCCTCTCTTCAAAGGGTCCAATCTTAACCTCTGCCCTCTTCAGCATTTCTTGACAGGAGGTTCTTTAATGACCTATGTCCATGTTGCAGATTTCCAGGGCATCAAACCCAAGTGGTTTATTTCTCCATTTTACCCGAAGAAGAGCAAGGAGCTCCACTGCCTTAGAGAGGGTATTGCCATCACTGAAGACTTACAAGCAACATAACAGTTCAAACCACTGATTGCAAGGCACTGCATACCAAATATCTATTATAAGATACTGTTTGTTTTGTGTCAGTGGAATATTACTATTGCATATGAAAACTTGTGGGAACTTCACCACCGTGTTCCAACAAACTTCTACTTGAATGAATGAGAAAAGAAGCCTTCTATCTGTCTAATTTTGGAATTTTTTTTTCCCAGGGAATCAGGGAACAAGGAAAAGAAATTATTAATTTAGCTTGGGCAAAAGGGTGATCGTCCCCCCTCGATTCCACTCTCGGAACACACTGAAATTAAGCTTTTAGCATTTGAGATTGGTATTTGTTTGTGAAAAGAATCAGCCTGACATAAATCCAGCAGTTGGCTCCTCCTTGTTTTCTTCCCGAATCAGATTTTCTATGTTAAATACACCACTTCAATATAGGTTTAATAATTATGTGCTTTTGGAAAAAAAATGTCATTTTACAAGATCTCGCATACCACTGGGAATGCATAACACCTGGACACATAAACCTGAACTTCTAGGCTCACAAAAGCTCTTGAAAGAAGCTAACAGTCATATATTGCCCATGAAATGTATATTCCTGTCAGTGAAGCATGAGTTAAACAACCTTCTTAGTATCAGGTAAGTCAGACTGCCGGGGACTGAAGTGTAGAACTAGCTTGTGTTGTCAGATGGATTCATGATTAGCAGAATCATGAATAACAGAAATTTGGATGAATCCTGAATTAAGTTCAACAAGACACATCACATTGTTGCCTCCAACTATGATGAATGTATAACTATTCAGTTATTCTTTCAATTGTTATAAAAACTGCTGAAGACTATTTCAGCCAGGAATAATAGGAAGAAAAAATAGGAAAGAAATAGACTGTTCAAGTTGTCTGGAATCCAGAGAGAATGCATTTGTTTAAGAAAGTAACATAATGTACTTTGTTCATCTTGTTCTTCTATTGCTCAGTATGACAACTCTTCTCTTTGATTGAACTGATATTTTGCTTTGAAAAACAAAGATGATAAACTATTCCTCAGACACTATAAAACACTGACTTATATCTGGCTGAGGATCTAGACTCTTTCATTACCTTAAGGTACTAAAACTTTTCTTTCCAGTACGCCTCTGTCTTAGCACTACATTGAGGAAAAAATCTTGTCACCTTTCTGCAAATAACTTGCCTTGAGTAAGTTCAGGGAGTAGGATACCATCATTAGTAATACACCGAAAGATAAACATTACTTTAGTACTATGTCTGTTTCTAGAGTAGCTCTCAATCTCAAGACAGACTTCCTTTTTGTTTGTAATGTCTAATGACCTTTTATTTCTTTCTCTTTTGCTATAAGCAAAATATTACAATTTATTAGTTAACTTCCGATTTTCCTTTTAACTGATGTATACTCTTTATTTTGCCTTAAATAGCTGAATATTAACATGTAAAGCAAACAAATATATTAATACGTTAAAGGGCATTTTAGAAACAGGTGGCTCTCTACTTATTAAAATAACCTTCATTACAAGAAAATCTGAGTTATTTACAAGGGTTCACAACTTTGTTTGGAAAAAAAACTCTACCAGCATTCCCTAAAAACTTTTTGAAATATACTGTGGAAAAAAAAAAGAGTCTAACAGTCACAAAAGAAATTATACAAACATTTGTGAAACACAGATGACTCACCTCTGTATTTATGTTCTATTTGCAGAAGATTGTTTTTAGAGAAAAGAGAGATCTTAATGATAAATTGTGGAGTTGATATTACAGATATTTTTGGGGAGATGTAATTAGATAGCTCCTCTTTGTCTTCAGTGATATTAAGACCAAAACATATCCATCTATCATTATCTAAAAACAGACTTCCAAATTCATGAGTTTTATGATACATGATGACAACAACACTGAAGGAAAAGTACTTGATGGCATGAATTTCATTATCACAAATATACAGAAGAGGAAAAAAAAATCAAAATGACAGGCTCAGACTCTCATTATTGTAACCATTTGATAAAAGAAAGACTGCGGGAAAAAAAAACTGGCTTTTGGTGGAGCTGAAGACTCAGCAATTTCGTGAATGAATAAGACCAAATCATTTTAGTTTTCAGAAAGGGCATTTTGAAAACCTTTTCTGTTGAATGACTTTTTCAGTGTTCAATTGAGCAAAACCTGGCTGCTTCTCTTAAATATGTCAGCAGTGTCAGTCACTTAGATCGTATAAATGAATCCCTATATAAGTGATACACCTATGGAATTTATATTCTGCATAGGGAATTATTCAGAAGTGCATCATGAATTTAAAGCAGAGATTTCAATACTGCAGATGTGTTTTTGACATAGGAATGTCCATTATGAGTTGACTTCACTATTTTAATACTTAACGCATAGTAGGAAAAATAGTTTTTGTAGGTAGGTGCTATAATTCAAACTAATCTTATCAGCACCTCCTCTATCTCCCCTGAACACAAGAAAAAAAATCACATAGAAGTCTTAATAAAACGGATCAATAATACAGTCACAAAACTCACATTGTGAAAGTTTTAAGTATAATCTAAATTCTATTAATTAGTATTTTTAATGAAAAAATACTCTTGAACTATTGTATCTTTGCTGATATTTTTTTACATACAATTTATAGAAAAAAGTTAGATATCTACTTATAATATTGCTTACCATGTTTACTTACTGTATTATTTAAAAAATATTACACAGAACTTTCACTCCAAAAAAACGTTTTCTACAGCACTGATTATCTGTATCTTTTTTAAACACTTCAGTGAAAGTTCATTATTCATACATGTACAAGGTTTGCGTTACTCAATGCAAATAATATAAATATTATTTCTTTAAAAATACAGATTTCACAGATTCACAGAGATTCTTTGATACTAATGGAATCAAAAATTTCAAATTACATTGTTTTCTGTGAACACTCACATTAGATCTTTGAGATCAGAGCCTCATTAGTCATTGACTTTGGTCTAAGTCTCCTGTTAATACTTATATCATTAGTCATTATCACAGCTACAAGAACTGACCACCATGCCTGTTCTTAGGAAGATTACTTCTTAGAAATACAGATCTAAAGTATGAAACAGCTGTTCATTTGACCAAAGCTTTAAATCTTCATGGTTTTAACCCAATTTATCTATAATGTTAACAGCAGATGATACAGCTGAGCTATGGGGTTCCTTTCCTTTCTCCCTTACTCTTCTAGAAATCAGATTTTGGAACATAAAGTGCAATCTTTCTCCAAAAGAAAAATAGCATTTTATGACAGATATTTTGTCACCAGAATTACCTACAGCTGTCCTCCTTTACCTGTCCCATACTATGGTCCTTAATGTCCTATTTTTACAGAAAAACTTATTTGAGTTTCGCCTCACTGAGGACTGAGTTGAGCCAAGAAGTAAAACATATAAAACACAAGTGTTATAAATTTTGCAGGATTACTAACATATTGGCATAGGTATAGAAGGAGCTAATAGAAGCACAATTTTTTTAATAAATTAGGGTAGAGCAGATCACACAAAAGAGGAGAAAGTTGTCCAAGGACCTTCCAGTATCTCCAGGTTCATTAAAAATCCTGTTATATTCGCAGGAATTTAAATGAGTAAACTGTAGTTCAGTCTTTCTATTGGTCAAGCCAGCATTTACTATCTCTCTTTTTAGATGACAGAAAATTCCTCCAGATAATATGAAAGGAGAAAAAAATGCTGATACCATGTATTAGCTGAGTGAGAACAGTCTATTTACCAAGTGCTTAAAATAATTCATAAAGTTGAAAATTGGAAAAAAAAAAAAAAAAAAAAATAGAGATGGGTCGATAGATATTCCAAATCGATTTCCTGGAAAAATACAACTACAAAATTGACATTTAGGAAATAGCAAGCAAGCACCGAATATCCAAGTCATTCAAAGCGTGAAGGATGTTAACAAGTAGAAAGTGGGAAAAAACAAGAAGCTGTTAAGAGTGAACAATATAAAAATGCTAGTAAAATAATCTAAGCAACTGCATTTGGTGTGATTGTCAATAAAATATACATGAGGAAAGATTCCACTATTCTCTGACAAAAGATGTCAGGAGAAGTGAACTATGATATGGGTTAATGCAACTGTCTAATAATACCAAAACCAAGAATGATAGTAGTGTCTACATATAAGAAGGAGTAAAAGAGCAAAGTAAACATGAAGGAAAAAATTGAGCTTCAACATGATTCTGGACAGGATTAAGTACGAACATGAAACGACAAATGCTTTTGGTTTAATGTGGGGAGAAAGGTTTAAGAGCCAGAAAGAAAAATAAGAAGGATAAAGCAATAGAAGAACAGAAGATCATCCAAAACAAACGAAAAAAAAAGATTTAAATTTCACTGGAGATGAAGTACAGCGGGACTAGTGGTACGCCAATGGAGATGAACAATTGCTTAAAATAGTTTAGAAGAAAAAAGAAAAAAAGTTGTAGGAAAAAAGTGCTAGGAGCACCATAAACAATTGTAGTTACATTTTGTCCAAGAAAGATCACCAGTTGTCTCCTTCCTTTGAGATGCTCAAAGGATTTCTTCACATTAGCACGAGCAAGCTCACTAAAGGTGGCCGTTTGAGCAGCGAGGTTGGATCAGATCCATAGGTTGCTTCCAACTTAAGCTATTCTGTGATTTTGTGATACTGAGGCCAGGAGAACGGTCTTTAGAACTTGAACGGATCAACATTTTACATTCAGATGCCCCAAATTAAAAATCATGTTTAGATATCAAAATAGTAAAAGCAAAATATAAGTCAAATTTGCAATCAAATTTTAACTAAGCCATTTTAAAAATTATTTTCCTAGATACAACAGTATATAAATAGGGGGGCTAGAAGAAATGCCTTCCATTTATTACAATAGCTCTCAATGCAAGAGGCAGATGTTGGTGGTATGGCAGTAGGGTTTGAACCTTCCCACCAACATTCTGTTACATGTTGTTGCCAAACAACAGTTGGCAGCGGAGTGGCAGTCTGACAAAATGGAAATGTGTCCATGTATTTCCATCGGAACAAAAAAGGAGACATTACTATCAGTGTGACCTACATGTATTTTTCTCCTGTTAACATGCTCAGGTGCTCACTGTGAAGAGGAAGTCTACTGCATCAACTTACACTTTTTAATAAATTTTATTCTTACAGAAGTACTAAACGAACGTGATTTGCAAGGTAATTTATAGAACAATAAAAACAGGACTTTTTTTCTGCCTAAGGTGTATTAAAAAGACTTTGAAAATAGGCAAGAACAGATCTGCTTAACAAAATATCAAAATTCTAATCTCTTACAACTTAGTAAATAGTGCATTTTCCTTACCATTCACTAGAAGAATATGAGTTTGATAGAGTTTATCATAGCCATCAGCATAACAGGTGTAATTTCCCATATGAGTTGTAGTAACCTTAGTAATGTACAAGGACCCATCATCTCCAAAATCCTACAAGGATAGATTAAAAACAAGGTTATCATAATTACATCTGTATTTCTACATTAATTATGCTCTTCATTTTTGCAACAAAGCTGTAATGCTAATATCAAATGCTCAGCCAGAATAACTGACAGTAACTGAAATCCTGATTATGTTTGGAAATGGCAGAGGCTTGTATTATGTCAGTAAAAGAAAATACTACTTCAGTTTCAAATTCAGAAGTACTAAGAGAATATATTTGTTTATTTAGCTATGATAGTTATTTGCAAAAGAGAAACTATTTTTGGTTTGAATCTAAGTAGATAAAAAACCCTAAACTTCCGCACAAATTAACAAGGTAAATTATATCCTTTGGAAGGAAGTGTAATTAAGCCAGTTTAAAAATAATGTTATCTTAAAAGACAACCCTAAAAGAACAGTCTAGTAAAATCTAGCATCTATAATGTTAATGTTAAGTATCATTTACTTAATACAAACGAGTTTCCACGTCAATTACTGTAAAAAAATATATGAAATAATTAGTACTCTCTGTTAATTTTTACTTAGGCTAATAACAATTTGTTTGACTAAAAATACCTTCACAAAAGTGAACTTCTTCATAGTATTCTTTGAAAAGTCTAAGCTACGACATGCTTGTAAAATAGTAATGAGCTATAAGAAAAACTCATCTATATTTTGCAAGTGCAGGCTTAAGCAGTAAAGGGTTGATTATCATAGCTCTTTTCTAATTAAATAGACATCTACGTTATGATCTCCCTTCATTTTTCAAATACACCACTGATAAAACAACTCTCTGGATATTTTACTCAAATATATCAGTTTTCAACAGGATTTGCCCTATGACGTTGTGATTTCTTTACTCAAAGCAATTTGGCTTTACAGAGGGATTTTGCTTTTGTTTTAGAACTACAAACTAGATGTGTCTGGCTTACTATTAGTATACTGAGTTCAGTATTTGTTTTGTTAATTAAAGCAAACAATTCAACACAGTGAAAACAAAATACTGTAATCAGTGTTTGGAAAGCAATGATGAAGCATAGACAGAGTTCTCTGAGATTAAACTGTGACACATGCTTAAGTATAACATATTACATGATTGTAATATACAGTAATATAAACTGTAATATACAGAAAGCTGCAGTATCATTCTGTCAATAAGGAAACAAGGAAATCATGCCGTAATTCAGAACATCAAACTAAATCTCTAACTCAGATTTTGGGGAAATCTTTGCGCACGTCCTAAGCTTGCCTTACAAATACTCTTTATAACCTACCTAAAAGTGGACTTTGTGATACACAGACAGTGGCTATTAGTTGAATTCAACAGGATTTGTTTGCATTCAGCAAACCTTAGAAAAAGATTCATGTTTCTCTTATTTTAAATCAAAATAACTCTGTATTAAGTAACCTAAACAGCAGTGTATGGTTTTTCTGTTATTCTTATGAATACAGTAAGGACTGCTGTTTAATTACATCAGGAAACAGTAACATCTAACATCAAATAACAGCATCCATTATCCTATGGAAAACCTGCAGCAGCTTTGCACTGTATTGGTTTTGCTATTTTGAAATCTGATGAGGTTAAATGTTCCCTCAGAACACAAAGACAAACCACAATAAAAAGTGCCATGAAACTCCACATTCTCAAGAAGTCACTTATATGAATCACCACATTATCTTATACATAACTGCCCAGATAGAATTTGTTTGTCATGTACTAAGTATATGAATGTTGCTTATACATCTGAAAGTAATGCCTCCCATTTTATTATATTGGAGCACAATGTCAGAGGCAGATGTTGGTGGCATGGCAGTAGGAGTTGAACCTTCCCACCAACATTCCTTTACATTTTGTTGTCATGTGGGGCAGAGGGGCAGTCTGAAAAAATGGCGTTTGACATGGGAGCGTGTCTAAAACAAAGGAATAGAATTGAATCCCCTCATGCAGGAAAAATGGCACCGGCCGATATTCATCAACACTTGTTCAACATTTATGGAGACCAAACAGTGGATATTACTGCACTTCAACAGTGACAACGGCAATGTGAAAGACAAATCATGCTTCTGATAGCCACATACAGCTGTCACACTATGAAATTAAGAGCAGCTCAACTAGCTTATCCATGTAATTCAGTGGATTACGACCATGGAACTGCGTATTGAGTTAAATATTTGCTTCAGTGCATTGGAGGCAACGTTGTTGGTGGCAACGTTGGAATATGGCATCAGGTGGGTACCATGAACGCTCAAAGAAACAGTAGGAACATAATAGGCAAGTTTGTCAGGACCTGCTGTACCAATACAAGGCTGAAGGTGACATTTTCCTGGATCTCATCATTATTGGTGACAAGACATGGTGTCACCACTACCAGCTGGACTCAAAATAGCAGTCCATGGAGTAAGAACATGTGAATTCCCCATTGAAGAAAAGATGAAGTGGCGTGCACTGTCTTTTGGGATAGGAAAGAGGTGATCCTCCAGGATCTCCTGGAACCTGGATAAAACATCCACATTGTTATGACACAGACTAAGCTGAAGGCTCAAACTTCTAGAACCAGGTCAGAGAAGAAGACAATCTTTCTTTTGCAACAAGACAATGTCAGGCTTTATTTCCAATATTGGCTGAACTTTCCTGCCACACCTACCACACAGTCCAGATTTAAAGACTTCTGACTTCCACCTGTTTGGGCCAATTACAGGTGGACTGCGTGGGAAACATTTTCTTAGAAACAATGCCATAATAGCAGCTGTGAAAAAGCGAGTCTGCTCTGCTAGTGCATATTTTCTGAAGAAAGGCATGAAAGCTCTTGCTCATTGCTGGCAAAACTGCCAACATAGCTAACAGTGATAACTATGTTGCAAAAAAATGCTTTTCTGCTGAAGAATAGCGTTATTGTGCTCAATATCTATTAAATATCCAATAGCACCAATGCCCTCTTTGTATCAATTGTAGTTTCCATGGAAATAAATAGGAGGCTGTCATGGTTTTATGATTTTTGGTTATTGGTATTCTACATCATAACATCATGTAAAGCACTGGGAGTTAAAGAGTTAATGCCCTACCTCTGTGGACCACCAATTTTCTGAATATCTGGCTCTCAGTAGAGAACAACTACATACCCCAAAGGACTTCACAGAGAGAAAAATAAAGCTCCTGGCAAGTTATGGGACTCTCTCTCTCTCTCCAACTCTCTCTGCCTGGCAGGGTGTGTGCGTGTTCCCCAGCTATTCCACCTTCAATTCCAAGTATGGCCTTCGGTTTAAGATGCTCTCTCATTTAATTTGATTTATTAGCCTCAGCTCCAATTATATTGCGTTATCTTGTATTCCGATACCATAGACAGTAAATTAAATTTCCTCCTCAGATCGTTGCTGCTTTTCTGTTTTTAGGCCCATATCCCATCTCCCTACCCATCCTTTTTCCCCTCCCCGGGGCGTGGGTCCTCCCTTGCCCCACTAGTCATAGAACCTGGCTGAACCAGCCCATAAACCATCAGTGCCCCCCCCTCCTCCCTTCCCCACAGGTCCTGTGGGCCTGCTGTCCTCCAGTCATGGACTCATTACTTTTGGAGCAGTCCTCACATATATGAAAACAGTACATATATGCTTAGAAAGATTTTAAATGGAGTTCCTATACAAAATACTTTTAACACTACAGACCTAAAGCAAAGGGAGTGATGTATGTCCAATGGTGTACTTTGCTCACAAACAGAAATAAAAATACTGAAAGCTTGCATGCTAGCATAGCAGCTTCATGTAAAAGGAGGCTAGACCAGCTTGCCAAACACATCACTAAGAAAAAACTTCTGACATAGAGCCTTTAGGCAAACACTGAATACAAATCAATCTGAACTAAGCACTTAGTATGAGCTGGAGTATTTGGCAAAGGCTGTATTACACAAAAAGTTGAAACCTGCTGCAGTTTTTATAGCAATCTTGGTTATTTTTAAAAATCATCACTCATCTTGCTCAAACCATTAATACAATGTTCCATGTTCATCAGACTAATCTTTTATCACAAGAAAGCTTCACTGGGTAAGGTGTCAGTGAAACAAAGGGCTATTCAGCATACACTGACTGAAACCAGTTATATTGGAACAATTACTTTTTTACCTCTCCACGGTGATCGACCATGATAATGACTTTTAGCACTAGTCTTTGTCCATCCAGGCATTGATATAAACAAGACGGATCATACAGTGCTCAGAGAGTTCGTAAAATGAAGTTTCAGAATACAAAATATGCAGAGTACATACAAGTCTTGTATTTTCTACACATTATGGGTAGTGAGATATTTATGCCTTTTTACAGTACACGTCACATTTTGTTTGATCTACTCTGCCTCCAAGTAATAGAAACAAGAATGGAAATTCCCTATTTCCTACAAGGAACGTGAACAATGTTGTATTTCTGATAACAGTGAAGTAATTATTAACACTTACTAAAATAAATGTTTTATTAAATTTGTTAATCTATATTAGCATTTTCTAATATTAACATTTTCTATTAACAAAGTAAACTGATAATGTTTAGCTATTTTGTTTTTACTAAATACTCTCTTTTGTTATACATGTAAAGTTTGTCATACACTACTTGCAAAATTCTTCACGAATTACATATTATTTTGAGGCAAAGTACTTAAATTTATATTTACAATATATAAAAAAGTCGATTTCTTTTTTTAAAGCAAAAATATGCACTTTCTATAGCACAATTTGAAACCCATATGAGTTTAAAACCCATAAACTCAAAAACCATCTCAATCAGAGTATTGCAATGAGTCATAACCATATTCTTGTACTCTCTGAATTGATACTAAAAGGTTATCTCTTTTGTGAGAAATCCACTGCTTCAATTTTATCACTACATCAATCATAATTTAAGGTCTTTGACATGGTCCTGCATCACATCCTTATCTCTAAATTGGAAAGGTATGTATTTGAAGGCTAGTTATTCATTGGATAAAGAGTTGGCTGTATGATCACATCCAGAGGGTTGCTGTCAATGGG